AGGCAACAACCCCCTCCCCATTGTTGGCCTTCCTCCCCAAGGCTTAGCTAGAAGTGAATAACAGGCAGAATACTACCTTGTCTTGAACTGCTGTATTTGTTCGTTTGTTGTTAGCATTGGCAAAGGTATCCAACCTTATGCATGGTGTCTGGCAGTGTTTTTTTGGAAGCATTTCAGCAGCTAGCACAATTAACAGAATGATCTACCTGGCTGTCACATGCAATGTTCCCTCTAAGCTGTGGAGTCCCATGAGCCAAAATTCTACTTTGTGAGCAACTGGCATTAAAGTTTTGAATGGGCGACTTGGCTCCTGCCTAAATTACTTTGCTCTGGAGCCATCCTTCCTGAGTGAAGACAAAAATGCATGAGCCGGAGGCTAAAGAACTGTGAGCTCGCTCACACTAACTCAGCTTAGCGGGAACACTGGTCACATGTGGTTAAAGGGAGCAAGAAAAGACCCCTTTGATATTCACTTGCATTTGGCTGCTTAGTATGTTTAGCAGTGGGGAGGTTTGGCTCAAGAAATCCTGCCGTTCAGCAATCCACCATCCTTACAGCATTCTTTGGGCATGGGTGCCCAGGAGAACATCTAGTGATTTTTCCATTTTAATAAACAAAACATTCTAGCCCTTTGTGGCACTTTGTAATCCTAGGGCTCTCCATGGGAAAAGTGAATAGTCTAGATTTAATCTTTAACAATTGCAGGGGATTGACTTTTAGTACCTTTGCAGAACAGGCTTGCACAACTTGTGACCTACTGATCTAAACACACCTCGCCCGCTATATAGGGTGGCCTATTAGGGCTGATAAAAGCTAATTTTGCTCTGGGGCTGGAACTGGAAAAACAGAATTGGCAGGCCACTATGATTGGTGGGTCACAGGCTGTGAAGATCTGTCCCACAGTGTTGCCATACAGCCTCACAACTTCACAAGTAACGTGGACAGACTCTTGAATGCTTTTTGTTACTGTTTATCTCAACCAGCACCAACCCTCTGTTAAGTTCTGTGCATCTGGTAAAATCTCAGCAGTTCCTTACTGTTGTGGAGACACATTACTTCTGCTAAACTGAATTTGCATTACCAATGACTGCTAAAGAGTCTGTTAAGAACAGTCATCACCAACTGCAATGTAGCGGGCTTGAAGGAATATATATTATATCCCCATATGGGGGGCTGAGACAAAGATCTGTGCCAGCACCGGAAAAGTTTCTATGCAATCTTCTCAGTAGACTCTCTTGTAATGACTTAACAGGGAATGTTTGCCTGAAGTTATGGCACATTCTTATAGTGTAGGTTTTTTTAGGGTTTCTGACTTGCAGTCCCAGCTTTCCATCCTCATGAAAGGACAGTCACAGTGCAGCCCTGTACAGAATTGCACCTTTCTAAGCCTGCTGCCATCAATGAACTTAGAAGGAAGTAACTCTGTTTAGGATTAAACTGTTGGGCAGTCAGAGATAGAGACAGAGGGATGGAGACAGAGAGCCAGTTTGGTGTAGTGGTTAAGAGCGCAGGCTCTAATCTGGGAGAACCAAGTTTGAATCCCCACTCCTCCACATGCAGCTGCTGGTGTGACCTTGGGTCAGTCACAAGTTCTCTCAGAGCTGTTCTCTCAAGGGCAGTTCTCAGGAGAGTTCTTTCAGCCCCACCTACCTCATCACAGGGTGTCTATTGTGGGGAGGGGAAGGGAAATTGTAAACTGCTCTGAGACTCTGAGTGAAGGGCGGGGTATAAATCCAATCTCTTCCCCCCCTCCCCCCACTCCTCCACCGCCACCACCACTTAAAGTTTGGTCAGCATTAATCCAATTGATTTATTACTGAGAAAAGCAACTAATGATTTTTTCATGTCTCTCCGGCACTACTTTGTATCCTCCTGGTTTAGAGTATGCAAGTCAGCTTTCCAGTTACCTATTCGTGAGCTCACTGGAAACAATGACAGTGCTGGCTCAAGAAGACATTTTGCTGCCCGACACAGCCCGTCGCCTGACTGCCTCTGCCTCCCCCCTGCCGCCACCCCTGCTGTGCCTCCTTGGTCTCCCACCCCCTCTTCCAAAACAGAATGCAGACTACTTATGCCCTGCAGGCCTTTCCTGTTGAAATCCTTCCTTCTGTGAGAGTTCAGCCATTATTTATGTTACCCTTGCAACTGCAATCATGGGCAGAGTTTCCGGGGCAATTGAAATGTTGGCCAAACTCTTAAAAGAGGAATCGCTTTGAGATTTTAGGGAGCCAGGTAGGCTGTTACGGGAGGGCTGGCTGGGGGGGTGGGAAGAGTAAGGAGTAAGGAGACTCCCAGGTGGAACGTGGGCAGGGTCAGCAGAGGCCACGGGAGGCAGTCCACCCCACTCCACATCTGCCACCGGGGACAACTGAGACAGCCAGGTAATGTGCTTCAGTTGGCCCTGTGAAGTGATGAACTCTGACAACAATGCTCAGCAAGTTCTTTTGATTAAGTTGTCTGTCATCATGAGCAAGAAATATACAAAGCCACCGTTGACCCAGTCGTCTTTAAAACAAAACAAAACAGTTAAACTGATTGGAAAGACTTTAAAGAATACTTAGAGAAATATTGGGATGTAAAAAACAATTTATCTTGCTTCGATAACTATTAAAAAAAGAATGATATTTAGAATAAGCTTAAATGTATAAGAACAATAGTTAAAAGATATGTTACCTGTAGAATTCGATTAACGAACAAGGGGGAAAAGAGGGGAATATAAGATGTGGGCTGGAGGTTGGAGCACTGTGGGATGTCAGAAGAGGGGTGGGTAATTAGGAGAAAAGGATATATGACAGTTGGTAAAGTGACGTATGTTTGACTTATTAATATATCCTAATAAAATTGGTTTTTAAAAACAAACCCCCCCCCCCAAAAAAAAAACCCAGTTAAACTGAGAAACATCTTTCCAGGAGTCTCATTTAATTGTCTCAGTAAAAACTTCTAAATTCAGAGGCGTTCTTGGAAAAGTTTAACGTTTCTGAACCAGTTAATTTCACACTTCTAGCTGGGACAGTCGAGTTCCTGGAAATGCCAGGAACTGAATGGGCATTCCGCAAACTGGCTCCACCTTTAGCTCTGGTTAAATCAATCTTGTGTTCTGGCAAACAACAGGGGAGGGCCGTCACCCTCATGCCACTCCTGCGTTTCCTGGAAGCACCTGGCTGGGCTTTGTTTGGAAACAGGGTGCTTAGCTGGATGGACCCTTGATGTGACCCAGAGGACTGACTCTTCTGGCTAGTTTTCAGCTTTCGGAAAACCCTTTCGGCAAGAAACACTAGAAAATTCTTCTTTTACATCAGTCTTAACAAGATACCAAAAATAGATACTAGAAAATAGAGGCCAGGTGAACAGCATCTTCAGTGGCAGAATGTTGGTGCTGTTCAGTTTTGTCAGATAGTGAGTGGCTGGGTGCACAGGGGAGTGTTCCTTCCTTTCCAGACGAGGGGGAACAGCACCATATGAAGAACTTAGCATCCATCAGAGATGCCCACATCATTCCGAGCAAGTTGTTGGTTATCTAGACTTCAGATGGTTATCTAGAGTTAGACATCAGGTATCTCTGTGGAGCCAGACAGAGCTGGAGCAAATGCGCCCCAGATGGCCATTAGTGCCCCTGCTTTACTACGTGTCTGTACAGAGCTTTGCTGACTCATGTAGAGAGAATTTTAGGTTTTTGTCATGATAGATGTGGTTGGTTGTCTCTGAAGCTTAAAAAGATTGCTGTTTGATAAATGGAATTGGTAGCTATGCCAAATCTTGGTGATGCTAAAGAGAATGGAGTCTACAGAAGCACAGGGAGGAGTGTTAGACCTTATCTACACTAGTTGGAAAATATTGACGAAGGGATTGTTTCCCTTTAATTTTTAGCAAGGCCGTCTTTTTAGATACCTACTAGATTATCCAGTGAAAAACCTCAGTTGATTAAAGAGTACCTCCAATTAATTGAGAACAGAAGCACAGGGAGGAGTGTTAGACCTTTACTTATCTACACTAGTTGGAAGATATTGACGAAGGGATTGTTTCCCTTTAGTTTTTAGCTAGGCCATCTTTTTAGATACCTACTAGATTAACCAGTGAAAAGAGTACCTCCAATTAATTGAGCAGTAGACTTTTAAAATTCATTTTTATATATGGACTTTAAAAAGTGAGTGATAGGCTCCATTAGAACTATTGTAGTATTCATATGCAAATATATGCAGTTTAATTGCTTAGTCGTGCAAAATCATGACTAATCAACTATGATTTCTCAACTAGGAGGATCGCTCTAGTTCTTAGTAATCTCTTCCTCATTGTCTCCTCCCTTAGTGCAGAGTAAATCCTGTGTACTGAGAAGAGAATTCCCAGGGGGTCAGGATTCCTAAAAGGGGACTCCACGCTGGACTTGAGAAGTCTACTTGCCCCACCTAGGACATGTGTCACATGTTGCTGGCATCTGAAAAATAGCATGAGAGAGTGGGACATTACTGCACTTAGGCTGCCTGCCTGCCTGCCACTGTCCCTGCGTCATAGCTCATGGCGGGCCATACCTTATTGGGTGATGTCATCCAGTGAGGCTCAAGCTTCCAATGTGGCTGCAGGGGGGGGGCATGGCCCAAAGCTGCACCAGGGGCCTGTGCAGGGTTCCACAGCAACCAGTGGACAGGCCGAGGCAAGGCCAAACATCACTGAGCCAGTTCCCATAGACATGCCATTCTCACAAGGCCCAGGACTCTCGTAGGAGCTGGTTGAGGAGGATGACCATGGCTCACTGCCCTCCCATGTTTCTCTGCCTGAGAATGGGAGGGAACAGCAAGAGCAATCTGAAAGGAGGAGGAGGAAGACTTGGGTGAGAGAAAACTTCCCTATCTGTGGCCTCCAAAGGGGGAACTGTGGGGGGCACAGTTACCCCACACACACACAAGCTCCACCCCCGATTTCCCACAATGGACCGGTAGTTCTTGGGTTTGGCTATGAGTTGTGTCCTTTCTTGTACTCACTGTGTCTCCTTTTTCAAACCACAGCTGCCACTGGTGACATGCCAACGTACCAGATCCGAACTCCGACCACTGCCTTACCTCAGGGAGTTGTCATGGCAGCATCCCCAGGAACGTTGCACAGCCCACAGCAGCTAGCAGAAGAAGCAACACGTAAAAGAGAGCTACGGCTTATGAAAAATAGGTACTGTTGTTTTAACAAAAGGAAGGGTTGGTGTTTACTTTTGGGATCAGATGGCAGGAAAAGATTGTGGAGAAATCATTGCTGTTGCTGACAAGGACTTTTGCAGAGGGAAACAGTGAAACTGGGTCCTTGTCGATAAGCCCCCACGCCTTTTCTTGTGGCTGCTGAGGGGAGGGCACAGCTCCTTCTGTACCACTGATGGTTGGTCGCTAATTATCACCCCAACCGTTATAATTAAAGTATCGTTAATTAATGTCATGCTGCATTCCTTTGTCTCTCTGGTCTTTAGAGCAACTGTGGCCCCAAAGCTCATCCCAGAGCACTTAGAATGGCAGCTGATTTGAAAACAGGCATGACTAGTTGCTGGTGTGTCAGAATGCTGCCAACTTGTGACAACTATTGCCTTTTCCATTCTGGTTTTTCTTTTTCTGCCTTTTCTTTAGCTAGTACTTGGTGATAAAGGTACAAAAGGCAAGGTTGCCATCCTGGTGACTGTAAAGAAAGCTTAGGTCTCCCAAAGACCATGGAGACATATGCCGTTCTGCAGATCATGAAAGATCATCCAAGATAACTGTAGTATTGTCAGCGTTATTTTCTGTTTCCTGAAGAGAGTTAGCAAATTGGCCATTGGCAATAGGAGTTCTTATGCATTATGCAGGGCTTTCCTCCTAGAAATTGTTATTTGAGAGCATTATAAAGTGATTGTTCTTTCTGAAACATCTGCACCTTTATGGAATGTTATGCTCCACATAAAGGTACATATATAATAGAGCCATACAACATGCCCATGAAATTATATATTATCTTGTTATCGCTGGTGTTTTAGATGGAAATTTTATTTGTGTCTGATGCCTTTAATGAAGCTTCTGTTTCTGTAAAGGAAGGCAAAAGCCTTTTGTTTCAGTTTTTCACATGTTGGCTTTGTTAATTTTCCAACAGCGGACCGTATGAAATAAATTAGTACATTTTGCTGTCGACTATGCTTTTTAGGCTAGATTTGTGAATGGGCCTTTGTGTGACTTGAGCTTTGTCTTCTGCTTTCTGGTTGGTGCTGGCTGTTGTGCAGAATATACTAACCTTTATTTTGATACTTCCTGTGTGCTCTCTGTGGTCCCTGCATGCCTGCTGCTTAGGCTGATAGATGCCGCTAGCAAGTGCTTTGCAAGGAGAAGTTCCGCCAATTGCTGCTAACCTTGGTGTTGCTCATTGCCTTTGTGGTATTGCTTTTTCTCATGCCTTGTCATTTTAATTTGCTTGTCAGAGGTGTCCATCTCTCTCAATCCAATCCATATCATCTTCTCTCTTCAGATTAAATTCTAATGTCCGCTGCCATATATAACAGCAGGCACCAGTTTCTCTCCACACCTTTTTTTCTATCTAAATAAATAAATAGCGGAGAACATCCAAGCTACTTCATGTAGTGCCTCACTTTTTTTAAAAAAAAGTTTCCATTTCCAATAACAGTCCTGTGCTACTCATAATGCCCCCCTGCCAAGATTAGGCATGGGGAGGGACCGTGGCTCAGTGGTGGAGCACCTGCCTTTACATGCAGAGAGTCCCACATTGGGTCCCCCTGGCATCCCCAGTTAAAAGGATCAGGCGGTAGGTGATATGGAAGATCTCAGCCCGAGGCCTCAAAGAGACTGCATAGATAAGTACTGACCTGGATGGACCGATGGTCTGATTCAGTATAAGGCAGCTTCATGTTTCCATCAGGGGACCTTCAGAGTACCAATCCATGAGGACC